TTTATAGATAGGTTATTAATTCATCTGTAAACACTTTATAAATCATTAATAAATGTTTATTATGCAGTAATTAAGGACGATAAAGACAAAACTGTTCAGTTTCTCACCAAATAATGAGACAAATATGTTCACATATTACATCTAAAGGTGCTATATTAAACATTTCAGACGTTTCTACATTGTAAGCACAATAACGAAAAGAAACACATATTTTAACATATTAATATTGTATTGCTGGATTATAAATATTCACAACTGTAAAGGGAGACTTATCATAAAGTGTAAAACAGTACACTATTTATTTACGACAAATAAACAGTTATAACTTCCAAAAGTTAGTCTCTAATGTGAAAAATCATTTTAAAACTTAGTGTTGATAATCAATATTTGAAATTATTGTTCAAACATGTAACTGTCAACAATGATGTATCAAAACACTAAAAAAAGTCATGTTAACACACCAAATAATCCAACCCAATCTAAAATAGTGTACAGTTTTATACTGTACAATAAGGATCCCTTTAATATGTGTGGATATGTATAATGCAGTAATACAGTACATTATTATATGTTAAAACATGCATTTCCTAATCATTATTGTGCTACAAGGTAGTAAACTAGTCTGAAATGTTTAATGCACAAACACATTTTACTCAGTATTTGGAAAGAAACCACTTTAGTCTCTTTCTCGGCCTTAATTATTGCAAAATAAACACTTATTAATAATTGATAAAGTGTTTACAGATGCATTAATAACCTTTCTATAAACTCTTTAAAAGCCATATATAAGGGGAGCCTTATTGTAAAGTGGTACTCTATTTAAAAATATAAATTATATTTCAAGTGTTGGAACATGTATGACTGGTTAAATGTAAACACCTTATTAAAACTGGGAATTTGTCTGAAAGGATGTTGAACAAAGACTGGCCCCTCTGTGAATATTGTGACCCCTTGATGGCCCCTGACTCAGAGAAATCCTAGATCTGCCCCTTCCACACATCATCAGTAAACACTAGGGCTGTGTATTGGCAAGAATTTGGTGATACAATACATATCATAAGAGAGGGGTCACAATACGATATATCCTGATATATTGCGATACTGTAAGCAAGGCGATATATTGTGATATACTGCGATTTTTTTGTCCAAAAATTCTATTAAATAAAATCCTCTTACTGAAAAAAAAAAAAGAAAAACTAATGTTTGATTACAATGCTTACATTGTCTCCTACAATGCTAATGCTACCCTTACTCTCTGGCTCTCAAGAGGTAGAGGAGCCAAATGTCTGTCTCACTGCTGCCAACTAGTGGTCAGAGGCTGAACTACAACATAAAAATGAACGGCTGGCAGGAAAGTTGACATTTTAAACCTTAATTAAAAATCGATACAGGGCTTTAGAATATCGATACAGTATCAGGAAATGAAATATTGTGACATTCCAGTGTATCAATATTTTCTTACACCCCTAGTAAACACAGCTCACTGTACAGACACTGATGCTGCTTAAAGCTCTATCACACAGAGAAGAGGACATATGAACATGCAGCACCTCTGCCTTCTTCTCTGAACCYGTTAAAACAGATGGAGACAAAGTGGAGACCAGAACTGAGCAACGTTCTCTGTAAAACCTCCAACAACTCCTCAGGTCCTGAATGTTTACACACTGTTGGTAAAAAAAAGAGCCGATGTTTCACAAAAGAAACAATCAGGAACTTTAAACAGACGTATTGCTGCCATTAAATTCAAAATGACCTTAATTTTCCCCAGAAATATTTTTCAAATTACAGTTGTATTATTTTGATTTGGATTATTTATTTTTATTTACACAACAGATCTAAAAGAATAAATCATCTCTGTTTGTCTTTTAAAGTGGAAAACATCCAACAAGAGTCGAAGGCAGAGGTGGCAGCAGCTGCCAAACACCAGTTCTCTGACGCTGACGACTCTGACGGCATGGACGAGGAGGCTGATGAGATTGAAGAAGATGACGATGAGGATGAAGAGTACGAAGGAGACTCCACCCCGAAGCTGAATTCAAGGAGTACGAGTCCTCAGCCCTGTGGAGTCCCGTCAGTGTCAGTGACAGCCACAGCTGCTGTCCTCAGCTGCTCAGTGAGCACTCTGCCTGGAGCTGAGGAGCAGCAGCAGTCCTCTGGGAACCGTCTGGGTCCAGACCACCGGGCTGCTGTCCCCACGGAGCAGAGAGACAAGTATGTGGACGAGGACTCTCTGACCATGCTGGACCACACTGGGCTCCCCTTCGATCCTTACTCCTCCTGCCTGCTGTCTCCTGGCTGGGAGTCTCCCATCAGGGAGCCCTCTCCGTCACGTCTGCGTTACCCATCCCCCAGGCGAGAGCTGTCCCCGAGGGGACGCTCGTCTCCCAGGTGGGACACGTCTCCACTGAGGCCCGGCTCGCCAAACTTCAAATCCATCCAGCACCCATCGCCGGTGTCGTTGGAGCGACCCGTGTCTCCTGGGACGGAGCTGAGTGGGAAGTCGTCTGTGAGGGGCCGGCAGCGGGTGGTGCTGAGGGCCGTGTCCCCACGCAGGGGCTCGCACCAACACAAGGCCGGCTGTGATAAACCCCGACACCAAGCAAAGATCGACATGTCTCTGCAGCAAGCAGGCTTTGACATGGTAATGTCTTTTATT